AGACAATTTTGAAATCTATGGTGGCGATTTTGGAGGTGCTGTGGCGAACGTTCTGTTCTATCATTATAAAATAATCACTGTCTACCTCTGGATTGTATTAAATAAACAGCAAAGCGCATATTTACAACAGGTTTAAAGCCAAACAGAGGTCCTATTCGTGTGGTCCCAAGAAGGAGTAGTAGGTGCCGCCATGAAATGTTCATGAACTTTGGGTACAGTTGTTCTGAAAGCAGAGCTCACTTGCGATCTTCAAAACAACGCCCTGCTACGCCTCCGTGTGCTTTCAGTTACAGGTGGCCTGGAATTAGTGTCAGGGCGCGACAACTGCTGTCTGCCATTTACTGGCAGGGACTTCAAGTCTCCGCCTTCTTCCGCTTTCATCCGCTCTTGGCCATTCTCAACAATTCTGTTGGCGGTGATCTTTTTGCCATCAACGATTTTGGTGGAAGTTGACACCGATTTAAAATAGCACCTCCCCCCACTGCCACGTGACGTGGACACAGATGACAGGCCCCCGTCCCTCAGAGACCCGCAGGAGACCAACCTGGTATCAAAAGAGGGAGAACCAACGCCAAACAGCGGGGAGTCACCGAAGGTGGAGAAAAGGCGTGTAGCCGGCTTCTCCTTCTGCATCTGCGGGAGCTTCTTGACCCCTCAAAATATCTGCATGTGGGTCTCCAAAGGGGTCAAATGAAAGTGGGTCTTGGCCCCCAAAGAACTCCCTGCAGACGTCGGCAGGGTCGCGGGGGGGTGAAGGCGTCCACGGATGGGCCCTCGCCGCCGCCGCCCGCAGCCGCCGCCTCGCCGTGGCGGTCGGGGTCGTCCCTTTTCTGGGCATCCGACAGAACCTCGTAGGCCGGCGCCGCTTGCTTGGATCTCCACTCGGCCGCCTCCTTGTTCCCAGGGTTTCCGTCGGGGAGCCACTTGGGCGCCAGTGGGTGGTCGGCCTTCCTGATGCTCTCCGGCGAGGCCTGGCGGTAGTAGCACCTGGTAGTGGTCCAGCATGTCGGCCGGCCAGGACGGCCCAGCGGCCATGCGCTGCACAAGGGCCGCTTCTGGGCAGGCGTGAGCACGACGCGGCCCGGCCGCCGGGGCAGGGCGCCCATGTGGTGCAGCGCCCGCCTCCCTGGGGTCAGGCCGCCTCCCGGAAGGCCATGGCTGCGGATTCACCCCACTCCCTGCCGGGCGCCCTGTGACGTCTACAGGAAGGCTCTGAGTTTCTGCATACCCGAGACCCGCCCACCCTGGCTCCTCCCACTCGGGGCTCCTCCCACCCGGCGCAGCCGTGATCTCCAAACAGGACTGGAAATAGATAGAGTGAGGGCTGCCTTAGAAAATGATTCTCTTGAAGGAGGCTTTATGTCAGGCTTACCCTGGGCGCTGCTGCAGGGAAGAGCCAGGGGAGGGAGTTCGATCTGATCCAGAGTTCAAGGACGGTCCTATCATTTGTCAAGGGCAGTTTTCCAAAGTTTTGGCCCTGTGGACCCTTTTCCTTTTGTTTATGTGGGTTGTACCTATCAGTACTTACTCCGTTAGAAATTAGAACAATCAAAAACATTCTCTAGTCAATTCCCTTACAATAAACCCATTTCACAGCGACTTCAGTTATATTTTCTATGGGAAAACATTTTTCAGAACTGAAAAATTTAGTCAAGAGTGACTTCATTTTGCATTTTTTTCTGGCTTAATAGAAAAGAGCTGGATTCTTATATCTGTGTCTGCTTTCAATCTGTTGCTATATCCCATGTCATGTCCTAAACTGGGATATTTGTCTGTCTACCTAGGAGAGAATGAGAGTGAAAAAGGCAAATATCACTATTACTGAAATAGTTTTGACCTTGCAAAATTCCCAGAAAAAATTCTTGGGTATTCCCGGGTGCCCTGCCTGATAGTTTGGGAACTGCTTGTCTCATATGTCAAAATGATTGCAATTTGCAGGCCATGTTCATAGCGCCATGGGTCAATGGGGTACAGTGGTTATTTCCACTAAAACCACTGTATGATGATCATTGTGTTTTTTTTGGCATTTGCTAATCTCTGACATGTACATATGGTGACAGAGACAGTATATGCTGTGTATGTATCAAAGCAAAGAATATAGTGTGACATGTAAGGCAACACCAGTAAAGGTCACTTAGTTCTAAGAGGAAGAAAGGGAAAGTGGCCCCAAAAGAGTGCTGTAAATACCCAGAACAAGCTGCTGCCGTGACCCTGACAGACCCTCAGCCCTGGACGGGGCACTTCCTAAGCACATGGTAAGCAGCAGCAGGGAGCTGACTGGTCGCAGAGTCCACTGTGCGCAAAGCCAAGTGGGAAAGCGCAGAACCTGCTTGGGGAAGGTTAAGTGACCCCAAAGGACTGGAGTCAAAGGGGCAGAGGCAAGGGTCAAGCAAGTGGAGGGGCTGGAGAGGGGAAAGGCCTTGGACAGGAGGGCTGGAGTCCCGTCCAGGGAGTTTGGAGAGTCAGGTCCAGGAGTCTGAATTTCACTCTGGGCCCTAGGAAGCTGCTGACCAAGGTTTCAGGGGAGCTGGACGGGTGGGTCCACACAGGGTCAGCTGGTGCCGGGAATCAGGGGGATAGGGGTTGATGGTTTTAAAGGCTGAGGTCTTGAAACAGGACCATGGCAGCTGGGCTGGAGACAGTGGTAGAATGACCCAGATTCAGCACTTCCTTGCTTGGACATGGGGCCCAGAGCAAAGGGAGAAGGGAAGTCACAAAGCACACAAAAGCGTTACTAGGTGTTTACTGTCTGCAGATCCTTGGACAGCACCTCGGCGCCCTCCTTGTAAGGCAGAGCTGTGACCCCAAAGTGCCCAGGTGCACAGAGGCCTCACAAAGTTTTACAACTCTGCGTGAGGCAGGAAGGTCATAAACTCATTACCGTGGTGACTGTGTGTTTACAGCCCGTTTACTCTGTGTAATCTGCAGGTGAACTCTCATGACACTGAGGCTTCAGAGAGTTATCACCCTTGGTGTTTAACTGGACTGTGAATTTCAGGACTGCAGATAAGAGCGCACCAGTGAGAATCAGCATTGCTTCCTCTTTTCTGCTCACCCAGCATGTTGGTCCTGGAGAATGGCCAGCTTGTGGGATGGGGTGGGGAGCTTCAGAATGCAGGTGTGGGGGCATATGCACGTATGTGCAGTGTGTGGAAGCACATGCAAGACAGGAGGACTGAGGAGGAAGGATGGTGGCACAGGGAAAAGGGACTCCACCTACATATACTAAGTACCAGAATGTTCCAGAATGAGACAGGCCCTCAACTGGGTGGCCAGTGATGTCCATGGTCAAAATATTTAGATCTGTGCTTTCATTCTAGGCTTGTAGAGAATGGCAATGAATCCCAAATGGAAAGTGAGATGCTCCATTTATTTCACCTGGGTGATGATGGTGGGGATCACAGTGTTGGTTTTGACTTGTAGCTGGTTGTAAATTTTGGCCCTGGCCTCAGTGCTACTGTCTGGGCCTTGCTGGAGGCCATGGGCAGTTACAGTGAAGGGCCGGGTCTCTAGGGTCTCTAGGCTCTGATACCCCGGGGCGGGATCTCAGCTCCACCACCTAGTAAGTGCAGGCCTCTGGCAAATTGCTTTGTCTCTCTGTGTCTTAATTTGTAAAATGGGAATAATAGCATTTCCCTTCACAGGGTGGTTTTAGGGGATTACAGAAGATTTGTTGTGAACCGCTTAGCACCATCTTTGGCATAGAGTAAATGCTTAGTAAATACATTTCCTCTCATTTTTGCCCATTTTTCCCTTTGGTTTGGCCCATTTGGGAAATTCAGTCCCTAGAATGCGTACTCAGGTGGGCTTCCCCTCCCCTCATTCTCTTCCCAGCAGCATTCATTTCCTTCTTAGGATATCTCACGGCTTCTAATGTGTTTATTAGTTTAAATTGTCAATCTGACTCTCGTGATGGAGTGTGAGTTCTGAGAAGGAAGGGACTCATCTGTGATGGCCTCTGGTGGAGCCTCCAGGCCCAGGGCTGTGCTGCACTCAATAAATATTTGTTGCCTGAATGAATAAAAAAAAATTGTTGCTCTGTTCGGGCAGAGCCCTGAGTGCATTGCAGAGAAGGACGTTCGTAATGGTTTCCATGGGCCAAAGGTGGGCTTGTAATGCCATGTTCTTTTCTTTCCAAAAGGCATATTCAGCTTTCTATTTCATTTCTGGAGAGGAAGTCTACTTTGTCCCTACATAGCCTTTTTTCTGCTTGGGCAACATTCTCTTGGTCCCTGGAAATAATGAATTTAATGGATTCAAAGATGCTGGAGATGCTTTGACTTCTGTTCATTCAAGAATGGGAGCTGAGGTTCTTTCATCTGAAAAATTTTTCCATCTGAATTATTCTTTTTGCCTATAAAGATATCCAGTGACGCTCTGCCCTCCTTATCTCTAAAAGAAAACTCCCTGTCATCTTCAGCTGACAGTTACAGCCACGTGACATGGTCAAACAGTAACTTAGTGCATTGATTACTGCTTTCGCCGTGGAAGTAGAACAGGGCACACCTCTGGGAGGCGAAAGGCTTGGTGACAGGGCACCATGGCGGCAGGATCCCAGGGTCCACGGCCGCTGGTCCTGGGCCTGCTGCTGTGTGCGCTTGGCCCCATTGTGTCCCAGGGTGGGAAGCTGTTGTTGGTCCCCATGGACGGCAGCCACTGGCTGAGCTTGCTTGGGGTCCTCCAGCAGCTGCAGGAGAGGGGACATGACATAGTCGTCACAGCGCCTGAGGCCTCCATGCACATTAAAGAAGGAGCGTTTTACACCTTGAAGACGTACCCTGTGCCATACCAAAGGCAGGACCTGGAGGAGACTGTTACCAGTCTTGGGCACAACATTTTTGAGAACGAGCCTTTCCTGTGGCGTGTGGTCAAAACATACAAGAGAATCAAAAAGGACTCTGCTCTCCTCCTGTCCGCCTGCTCCCATTTACTGCACAACAAGGCGCTGATGGCCTCCCTGGTGGAAAGCCGCTTCGATGTCGTGCTTACAGACCCTTTCCTTCCTTGCGGGCCCATTGTCGCCCAGTACTTGGCTCTGCCTGCTGTGTTCTTCTCAAATGCCCTGCCGTGCGGCCTGGATTTTCAGGGTACCCAGTGTCCCAACCCTCCATCCTATGTGCCCAGGGCTCTGTCCCTGAACTCAGATCGCATGACCTTCCTGCAGAGGGTGAAGAACATGCTCATCGCCTTCTCAGAGAACTTGCTGTGCAATGTGGCTTATTCCCCGTATGAACCGCTTGCCTCACAAGTCCTTCAGCGAGATGTGACTGTCCAGGACCTTATGAGCTCTTCATCTATCTGGATTCTCAGAGGTGACTTTGTGAAGGATTACCCCAGGCCCGTGATGCCCAATATGATTTTTGTTGGTGGGATCAACTGCAACAGCCATAATCCACTCTCTCGGGTGTGTATGTGAGTGGGATCTTTACAAGTTTATATTCTTGCAAGTATTTTGGAGAAACGAACTTGCCACAGATAAATGCTGAATGAGCAGGCTGAGACACTCTCAAGTGTTCTCTTTTGTTAATTTCTATCTTGCACGTCTCCTGGGTCTGATTTGTAATTTATATCTGTCTTTGGCATCATCTTCTGGGTTATTTCTTTGTATGGGACACATTGAGACAGTATCATTTGGGCATTTTACTTTGTGTGCTCCAGGAGATAGTAATCAGTTAAATGCCACAAGGGTTAAATGCTATAAGCACAGAGCGTTGGGACCAGGGTACCTTGCAGAAAACAAATATGTGCTGCTTGCACCTTGCCCTGGGTTAGGTCAGGCACGTGTGATTCCCAGATTGTTGAAATAATTCTTTACTTATGTACATTTATAGATTCTGACAGGGAAATTTGCCTGTATGGTCCAGGTTTAAGCTCCAGTTTTTAGATATTCTGATAGAAAACTGGATCCTGCAGTATCTTGGGTTCTAATAACTAAATAACCAGACAGTCAAGTACTGACACTGGGCATGAGTCACACTCAATACAACAGTTACATGCTAATTTATTTCCCTACAGAATTTACAGTGCGCAAAAAGTAGCATTCACATCCTCTTCCAAATCTCAACACAGGTGACAGAGAATAGCAAGAGCGGCTTCTTCGGATGAGGAGTTGCAAAACGTTCTCTGTAGAAGTGATATTTCAGTGGGTATTCATTTGTTTATTCTTCAACTATTGCTGAAGGATCTGCTGGCATCCCCGGTGCTTTCCAGATGCCAGTCTGACTCCTAATAAGGATCTACCGTCACCCTGGGAGAACGTTGGATCTTCTTCCCAGGGTGTCTCCAGTGTGATTCGTGTTTTAAGTGATCATGAAAATGTCATGACAAGGAGAAACTTTGGGTGACAGGAAGTATGCCAAGTGAGAAATCAGGCACTGGGTGGATGCCTCCACCAGACCGCTGCATGACCAGACCCTGTCCTTGGGGCTCTGAGTCCTCCCCTGTTTCATAGAGATCTGGTGGCCCCTGCGGATTCCCCGGCACTAAGATTCTGACCCTAGTGGTCCATTAGACAACTGTGTGGCTGGCGTGGTCTGGTTAAGAAAGAAGAAGGTGTTGGTTTCCTGAAGGCAAAATGAGAAAACCTAATGCTATAGAAAACCATTAATGATTCTTGTTAAGATAGAGGAAAAGGAAGAGGTGAAAGATTACCCAACCAACGGGCACATCTCAGATCAAAGGGAAAAAGCTAGTCAGCATGGCCAAGGTGGAGAGGTGTTAAAGAGAAATATTTCTGGCATCATCATGGAGGACCCAAAAGAAAACAATTGTGTTTCACTTCCACTTTGAAATGTTAAACTTTGGAGATGGTTGTGCCTCCTAGAAATTCTATTCAACATAGAAGGGCTTGTCTGTAAGTGTGCATGTGTTGGAGGAGGTCACTGAGAGGGGCTGACCAACAGCCGATACATGAGCTGGACCTGGGCAGTCAGAGGCTCCTCTCTCCACCCCCTGAGTCTCTGTCCTTGGAATGTGTGCTTTACCTGCCGTTCCCACTGTGGGAGCTGTTCCGAGCACTTAGCCTTGAGAGAGAAGGTGTTGCTGGGAATGTCTGGGTAGTATACCTGACTGAGCCCAGCTAAGGCCTCTACATAAGATTAAGATTTGATGGGTGAGTTCGGGGATCTGCTGGTCTTGGGGCCACCCAAGCCAAGCCAAGTCAATTCTCTTGCTTATTAAAGCTGCTACCTATCAAACTGGAGAAGCCCGTCTCTTTCTTCAGCCTCTCCCAGGTTCTGTGCATGGGCAAATTCATAATCCAACACTGAGTTTTTAGAGTATACTCTATGTATTCTAGGTGCAATCTTTTTACCAATTATATGTGAAGTATTTTTCTCCTGTTTTGTGGGTTTCCTTTTCACTTTTTTAATGGTATCTTTGAAGCACAAAATTTTAAATTTTGATCAACAACAATCTATTCTTTCATCGTTGTGCTCTTGTTGTCATAGGTCAAGACTTTTGCATATGTTTCCTTGTAATATTTTGGTAGTTTTGGCTCTTATATTTAGGCCTATCATCAATTTTGGGTTAACTTTTGTGTATGGTATGAGATAAGGATATAGTTGTTTTAAAATTATTTTGCACATGGATAGCCACTTTTTTCAGTGCCATTTGTTGAAAAGACTCTTCTTTCCCCTTTGAATTATCTTGGGGCTCTTGTGGATAATCATTTGACTGTAAATGTGAGGGTTTATTTCTGAACATTCAATTCCAGAAATACAATTGATTTTGCATATTGATCTTGTATCTTGTAACCTTGCTGAAATTGTTTATTTCTTCTAAGTCTTTTTTTTTCAGTGGATTTCTTAGGACCATGTCATCTGCAAATAGAGATACTTGAATTTCCCCTTTACCATCTGGATGAGCTTATCTCTTCTTTTTGCCTGATCCCCTGTGCAGAACCTCCAGTACAACATTGAATAAGTGTAGGAAGGCAGGACATCCTTGTCTTGTCCCTGATCTTAGGGGTAGAGGATTCCAATGTCTCCCCAGTAAACATTCTGGGGAGGTTTTTTTTATAGATGCCAAGAATACTTGATTGAGGAAATGCCCATCTCTTTCTAGTTTGTTGAATGTTCTTATCATACAAGGTGCTGGATTTTGTCCAATACTTTTTGTCTGTTGATATAGATAAATGTATGTTGTTTGTCCTTTAATCTAATGATATGTATGTTACATGAATTATTTCAAGGTTGAAACCAACCTTGTGTTCCTGGGATAATCACTCTTGATCATAGTGTATAATCTCTGTCTGCTGTGGGATTTGGCTTGATACTATTTTGTTAAGGCCTTTAAAACATATATTGACTTATAAGGGGAATAAGGGGCCTTACGATGAGCACACATAATGAGGGTGAGGGGGCACGGGGAAGGCAGCATAGCACAGACAAGACAAGTAGTGTCTCTGCAGCATCTTAATACACTGATGGACAGTGACTGTAATGGGGTATGTGTGGGGGTTTGATAATGGGGGGAATCTAGTAACCACATTGTTGCTCATGTAATGATATATTAATGATACCAAAACAAAAAAAATTAAATTAAAAAAGGTTTATATCAATGGCACCTTAATTACAAAAAAGGAAAAATATTACAATAAATAAAACAGAATTCTAGTAAAAAAAAGATTGGCCTGTAGTTTTAGTTTTTATGAGGCTCTTGTCTGGCCTTGGTATCAGAATATTATTGACATTAAAAATGGCCAGGAGGTACTTGAAAAGATGCTTAACATCACTAATCATCAGGGAAATGCAAATCAAAACCACAATGAGATATAACCTCAAACTTCTTAGGATGGCTGTTACAAGAGACAAGAGATAACAAGTGTTGAAGAAGATGCGGAGAAAAGGGAACCCTTGTGCACTGTTGGTGGGAAAGTAAATTGGTTCAGCTACTGTGGAAAACAGTATGGAGTTTCCTCAAAAAGTTAAAGGTAGAACTACCATATGATCCAACAATCCCACTTCTGAATATATATCCACAGGAAATGAAATCACGCCTCAGAGAGATATCTACACTCCCATGTTCATTGCAGCATTATTCATGATAGCCAAGATATACAAATAATCTATGACATATATATATTTAGTTTTCTCTCCTACCTCCCACAAACATGTTTAAGTTGCACCAAGGCCCAGCTCAGCTATTTTGGCCAGGAGGCCTCTTCTCCCAGGACTGATCACATGCCCATTGTGTCTGCACACACCTACTTTAGGACAGTGACCATGTCTTGGGCATCTTTGTATACTTAGCTAGTGCCTGGCTTGTGGGTGGCAGTCAGTATATTCTCTCTGAGCTGTTTTGAACACTAGGCTACATACTGTTCCCCGACTACCCCCAGTATGCTGTTCTTTGCTGAAGTTGATTCCTCTGCCTAAAATGTGTCCTTCTACAAACAAGTTGTTCTTTTATTCATGTGTCCCTAATGATTTATTCATGTCTTTAGTAGACCATATCTTGTTGCACTTATGTGATTTGTTTATTAAATTTCTCCTAAAGGCAGGGATAGATCTTGTATTCCTGTACAGTTGATTTTTGAACAGCATTGGTTTGAACTGTGCACGTCTCCTTATACATGGATTTTTTTCAATAAAAATATTGGAATAATTTTTAGAGGTTGTTAGCAATTAAAAAAAGATGTTCTTTTTTCTAGATTATGTTATTGTAATACAGTGTATAACACATATACAAAGTGTGTGTTGATAGACTATATATGTTATCAGTAAGGCTTTGGGTCAACAGTAATCTATTAATAATTGAGTTTTTGGGGAGTCAAAATTTATACAAGTATTTTTACTGTGTGGGGGGTCAGTGTCCCTAATCCCTGCATTGTTCAAGGGTCAATTGTACATCCTTTGTACCTAGCATGGTGCCTGTCACATATTTGTGGAGTTGAATAAATACAAAAGTGTCTGTGAGAAATACCATGTTTTTCGATTTTTAGAGACTAGAAAATAGAACACACAGAAAAGTATGAAAAATATATATGCACATTTTATTAAGCTAATATGAAGTGGGTATCCTGCGCCTTATAACAGTCAAGAAATAGCGCCAATATGCAGACATCTGCCCTGGGTACCTGCTCGCTATCACACCCTTCCTACCTACTCCAGCTTCTCTGAAGATTATTTCCTTACTTCTCTGTGGTTTTGCCATCTGGGCATCTCTAAATAACACAGATGAACTTTCCTTGTTTGGGTACTTTATGTAAATATAATCATGTTGTATTAATTTTTTTATCTTGCTTTATCTTGCTGTGTTTGAGAAATGCGTGTTGTGTGTTCTTGCAAGTTACGGTGCATAAGTTTTCAGTTCTGAATAGCAGTCCATCACATGAATACACTGGGATTTCATTCACACATTCTACTGTTTACGGACACTGGGTTGGATCCAGCTTTTGACAATAGTGGACAATGGTACAACGGCCATTTGTTTACATTGCATGGGTGTTGTTAGAGTATATAGCTAGGGGCAGAGCCACTGCGTTGTGGCGTATATATATCTTTGATTAAAAATCATAGTGAGCAACCTTTTCCAAAGTGGTTGTACATGTTTAAATCTTCATCCAACTTGTAGGACAGTTCCTGTTTGCTGACATCCTTGCCTTTGCTTAGCACTGTCAGATTTAAAAGTTTTTGCTGGTTCAGTAAGTGTGCAATGGTATCTCATAATTTTACTCGGTATTTACCTGATCACTGAAGGTATTGTTTAACTATACAACTAACAATGTTGAGGATCTCTTCTTATGTTTATTGGTATATATGTTTTTGCTTATTCAAGTCTCGCCCATTGTTGTACTGGGTGGTCTGTCTGCTTGTAAGAGTTACTTACATAATCTGGATATGAGTTCTTTGGTGGTTATCAGGTGTTACAAATACATTCTCCTGCTCTGTGAGGTGCTGTTTATTTTTGTTTGAGCATAGTACAAAAAACATCTTTGAATATGCTTCATTGTGCCCCTTAGGGGGCTTTCCAGAGGGTCAATGCCAGGAAATGGACTTGCTTGGTCAACCACATTTTAAGTGTCAATAAATATTAATAAGTTATTCTCCCTCCAGCAATGTACATGTGCACCTTTTCTTCATATTCTTGCCCACACTTACTTTCAGACCTTAGGTTCTTGTCAGTCCAATAGGTGAGAAGTATCTCATTTATTTGAATTTGCATTTCTCTTGTTAATGGGTCATTTAAACATCTTCATATGGGTGTGTTTATTTTTATTAAAAGCTAGAAGGAATCTGCTTCTGGGGCAGGACATGAGCATCCTGTGCATTCATACAAGGGGTGGGTTGAGACTCAGTGCCTGTCTAGCCTTCCTACCAAGGGCTTTGGAAGTCAGGGTTTACTATGTACTTGACTCTCTCTGAACTGCACAGAAGGGGCTCAGATCATTGACACACACTTGGCAAGAGTTTCTGCCCCCCATTTCATATCTTTCATATCTAGGAAGGAATAATTTGCTTTTTACAGTACATTATGGAACCAGCAAAGAAAGATTCAAATATATTTCTGTACTTTCTTCTTTCTAAGGCAAGAAAGCTGACTTACGTTCTTTAGAGAGCTCTTCTCCAGGAAAGGTGGAAAAATACAACGTTGGGTGGTTTAATTTCAGCCCTGGGTTGATGTGAAAATGCTCTTTAATCATCCAAGTGGACTGGCTGTCCAAGAAGACTGTACTACCTGCTTCAAAGAAGCAGCTGTCAAAGGTCATCTTTACTATTGGAGGTTTTCCCTTAATCATGAGCCTAAGCCTTAACACTGTAACTTGGTGCTTTGACTGCATTCATTGTGTCAACACAAAAGGAATATTCCAGAAGCTTTGAAAAGTAATACAGATCTTTGCTGTAGATTTTCTTAAGGTTCAGTGCAGGAGTTTTAGAGTCCATAGAAAAGTGTTCTGAAATCCTCTTCGGACCGCGTCCCTCTCCCCCAAGGGTTCCTTCGGTGGGAGCTGCTCATAGGTGCTCTCCTCTCGCACGCTGCTCACTGCCCGCCCGCCCTCCTTCCTCACGGCCTTCTGCGTTCTCTTTTATCCTTCATCCCCAAAGCTTTTTCCTTTCCCAGCCACCTCAAGCCCGGGGGAAGCAGATGTGGTCTTATCTCTGATGGCTTTCCTTTTGGAGAATCAGCACATTACCTGGGTTCTGTGTCTCCAAGACCACAAGAGACAGCCCTGTGAGCGAGAAGCCTTTCTCCTTTGGAAGGGCGGGAGGAAGGGGGAAACTGTGGCACACACCAGTGCTTTGTGTCTCTACCACACACACACACTTAGCCCTATAGTCAAACTCTTAAGAGGAAGATACCTGATTCAGAGCTTAGTGTATGCAGTCACCAAAGAATACATGAAAAGATTAACTGGAAATTTATCTTTTGGCCCTAGGAATTTGAAGCCTATATTAACGCTTCTGGAGAACATGGGATTGTGGTTTTCTCTTTGGGCTCAATGATCTCAGAGATTCCAGAGAAGAAAGCCATGGAAATTGCTGATGGTTTGGGCAAAATACCTCAGACAGTAAGGAGATTTCCTTATATCTACCTTCACAAGAGTTCTAAGCCCAGACTCCCAGTTTCTAATTAATTCTATTAGATAGACTTTTGATTTGGTTTCCCTGCCATTCCCAGTTATTAATCCAAAGTTCTTCTTTTTGATATTTCACTCTCAGACGCACTG